CAGTCGATCACTACTTCTTCGTTCGATTCACTGATTGATATTTTATCACAATTGTTGTACTTTTTTTTTTGGTTTTTGGTTTTCGTGGTTTTTTGTGTTTCCTTTCGAAATTTTCAAAAATAAAAACCGTCAATTGTTGGCCACTCTAAATCACTAAACGACATGTACGAGGCACAATCCGTGTTACAATAAACAACAAAGTGCTTGTTGAGTAAAGTCGGTCGATTTTTACGAAATTTTCTTTGTTGTATTTGTGTTTTCTTTTGTTGTTGTTGTTTTTTGATTTCATATACTTTATACTTATTTTTAGTTATTTATAGCTGAAAATATAATGTGATTTTTTTTTTTGTGAAATTTCAAAATTTTGTTGGTAATGCAAATACATGTGCAAATCTATTTAGTTGTTCTGTTGACCAGTTCTTTAAGAGTATGAAATGGATGTGGTTATAATTACACAGGACCGAATTTTGAATGTCTAGTCTATAGTCTAGCCTATAATCTAGTCTATAACATATAAACTAGACTAGTCTAGTCTATAGTCTAGTCTATAGTCTAGTCTATAGTCTAGTCTATAGTCTAGTCTATAGTCTAGTCTACAGTCTAGTCTATAGTCTAGTCTATAGTCTATAGTCTAGTCTATAGTCTAGTCTATAGTCTAGTCTATAGTCTAGTCTATAGTCTAGTCTATAGTCTAGTCTAGTCTATAGTCTAGTCTATAGTTAGTATTAACCACATGTTTAGGTTAAGCCAGTCTGGGCTAAGACCTAATAAATAACAACTATAGTCAAGAATTCAAATTGTATTGAATTTGTCTTAATATTAAACAATACATTCTTTTAAAAAACTGTTTTATATTTAGCTTTTTTTCTCAATTGCAAAATATATTTTGTATTTAATATGATGTTAGGTTCATTGTTGTTCTTGTTTTTTTCTTAAAATTTTAATTCTATTCCCCAGTGGTTCCGTCTGTTTTCCTCTCAGTTTATTCCTAACGAGAATGTCTGTCTGTTTTGTAAGCATTTTCGCTTATAATCCCTAAAAACTATAAACATGAGGCTAAAAAAGATCCATCCAACTATCTAATACGTTTATAAAATTTATAAATCCAAATGTATCTTTTATTTTTTGGCTTATTATTGCAACATTTTGTAAAATTTTGAATTCAAATATTTACAAAAAAACATCCATGTACCCATGTTCTATAGATGTGTGTAATGTGTGTCATTTACATTTTTATAATTTCAAAACAACAACATGTTTAGAAAATGTCAAATTAAAAATTTTAATCTTTTAATAAATTTCATTTTGATAATGTTTTCAAGTAGTCTGTAGTAGTGTTTTTCTAAATTTTTATTTTTATTCAAAATGCCCTTGTCTTTTAGCGGAAGTCTCTTTCTTGAGCGTTCGTTGCAAAAAATAAAAAAAAAACAAATTTTAAATATTGTTGATTTTAAATTAAAAGTGCTTGTTTATGTTGCTAACATGGAAATAATTTTTAAAAATTTCAAATACATATTATTTTAAATAAAGGGTATATTTTCAAAAGCATCATAACATGAAACTTAACAAAAATATAGTAAAGCGTTTACAGATTTGTAAAGAAAAAGCAATTTTTGACTCTATTAATTCTGCTTAGATCTTTTCTTTAACCTTACAAAACTATAACTTTTTCTGGGATCCTAAAATGTATACCCTTTTATAGTTTAAAATATATTCTTGCCAAAAATAATGTTAAATGTTTGAAAAAGATATATGTATAAGTATATGACGATAATGACTGCGAATGAGGTAGTGAAATTCATTAGTGAAAAATTGTAAACAAAAATACTTTTCAATTTAGTCACGCTGCCAATCGGCATATGAATGGCAAACGAACATGAACAAACAAACATTTCAAATACACCTGTGTGAGAGGAAAATAACAACAACAACTACAAATAACTAAATCAGAAGAAAATCTCTTAATCATTGAAGGTAACAAAAATTAAAATGCATGTTTTTTTTTTTTGCAAAAACTACTAAATAATACATATAAGGCGGAAGATTTTCGAAAACAACTACATCGAAACTGGCTCATTAGGATTGACATTTGTTAATTCGAATTATTCGATTAAACCGAAAGGCGAATCACAAAATTCGTGATCGAATAGATTGAATTTTATATTAAAATTCATTCAAATTGTTTTGATTTGACCCCAGAAGTTTGAAAGTAGTTTCAAAAGTCTTTCAAATTACAAAACTACATCTAAAGTCCCATGAGTAAACGATATCTTCCCCAAAACAATTAATAATTGGGCATGCCAGTAAATGTTTAACCCAGAAACCAATATATATATTTTGTATAGATTTGAGCAGCGCTGAAACCGAAACTGATATCGCATCATAAAGTTGGAAAACCCCATTTTTTGGCACTCTATAACTGCACGAAGACACCTTAATTTATAAAATTTGTTGTCATGTGAAAGTCCAATCTGGGTTTTGACTTATGTTCTCTGTTGCCTCTGAGGAATTCAAATTGTAAATTTCGATTCGAAGGGAAACATTTTGGAATGACAGTTAGTTAGTTAGATAGTTAGTTAGTTAGTTAGTTAGTTAGTTAGATAGATAGATAAATAGATAGATAGATAGATAGATAGATAGATAGATAGATAGATAGATAGATAGATAGATAGATAGATAGATAGATAGATAGATAGATAGATAGATAGATAGATAGATAGATAGATAGATAGATAGATAGATAGATAGATAGATAGATAGATAGATAGATAGATAGATAGATAGATAGATAGATAGATAGATAGATAGATAGATAGATAGATAGATAGATAGATAGATAGATAGATAGATAGATAGATAGATAGATAGATAGATAGATAGATAGATAGAGATAGATAGATAGATAGATAGATAGATAGATAGATAGATAGATAGATAGATAGATAGATAGATAGATAGATAGATAGATAGATAGATAGATAGATAGATAGATAGAGAGATAGATAGATAGATAGATAGATAGATAGATAGATAGATAGATAGATAGATAGATAGATAGATAGATAGATAGATAGATAGATAGATAGATAGATAGATAGATAGATAGATAGATAGATAGATAGATAGATGATAGATAGATAGATAGATAGATAGATAGATAGATAGATAGAGATAGATAGATAGATAGATAGATAGATAGATAGATAGATAGATAGATAGATAGATAGATAGATAGATAGATAGATAGATAGATAGATAGATAGATAGATAGATAGATAGATAGATAGATAGATAGATAGATAGATAGATAGATAGATAGATAGATAGATAGATAGATAGATAGATAGATAGATAGATAGATAGATAGATAGATAGATAGATAGATAGATAGATAGATAGATAGATAGATAGATAGATAGATAGATAGATAGATAGATAGATAGATAGATAGATAGATAGATAGATAGATAGATAGATAGATAGATAGATAGATAGATAGATAGATAGATAGATAGATAGATAGATAGATAGATAGATAGATAGATAGATAGATAGATAGATAGATAGATAGATAGATAGATAGATAGATAGATAGATAGATAGATAGATAGATAGATAGATAGATAGATAGATAGATAGATAGATAGATAGATAGATAGATAGATAGATAGATAGATAGATAGATAGATAGATAGATAGATAGATAGATAGATAGATAGATAGATAGATAGATAGATAGATAGATAGATAGATAGATAGATAGATAGATAGATAGATAGATAGATAGATAGATAGATAGATAGATAGATAGATAGATAGATAGATAGATAGATAGATAGATAGATAGATAGATAGATAGATAGATAGATAGATAGATAGATAGATAGATAGATAGATAGATAGATAGATAGATAGATAGATAGATAGATAGATAGATAGATAGATAGATAGATAGATAGATAGATAGATAGATAGATAGATAGATAGATAGATAGATAGATAGATAGATAGATAGATAGTTAGTTAGTAAATTCTAAATGCAAGATTCGAATATTTTTTAGCTCTATTCTGCTATAAATTTTATTTAATTTAATAATAAAACATTACAATAATTAAGACCTAATGGTGCCTGTCAAAACTTGACTAAGTTGTCAACAACATAACAAGTGTGATCTTGTGCAATAGGCCTCAGTTCTAGAATCCAAATGTCATATAAATACTTGCATAAATATAAAATTTAACATTCTAGAAAGAAATTTTTATCTTGCATAAGCAGCAGCTAATTTTGAATTAAAAAATTTTAACATTAGTACTCAATTCAAAAATAATAATTAATTCACGTTTATGTTCTCTTCATGAAACTGGTGATGTCGTTCTATAAACGGTTCTGGAATCACTGGGAATTTTAAAAACTATTAAATTTCGTATAGTCTGCCACAGTCATTTCAAATAAGTATCGTTGAGAAAAGAACTAGTTCCAGAAGAAACATTTAACTTCTTCATAATCTTTAATGAAATCTTTGTGCAAAATGATGAAAATGAATTCAACTTAAACATAACTACTACTCACTTAAAATAAAAGAAAATTGAATTTATTTTGAATAATTTCTTTTATTTATTTTTAGTACCATGATAACAAGTAGTTTTTCTTTTATTTGATTGTTTTCCTTTTTTTTTTTTGTTTTGTATAAGATACACACACAAAAAAAATTATTAATTAATTACCCTTATGAATGAAAAACAACTAAAATTACAAATATATTTAATATAGAAGTTTGTTTGTATATACTGACACCTAAATAATAATATTCTTTATTTATTTATTAATGTATTTTATAATTCTTTGTAAATGCACTAATAATATGTATCATTTTTATGGATATTTGTGGTATCCATTTTGTTTATACTTTTCATCTGCAGCTACTACTGTGTATTTTGATGGCTATTTTTAAAAAGAACGTTTTATTAACATTCATATAAGAGTGTATGTATATTTGGACATTTAGATTTTTTTTTTTTTTTTTATTTATATTTAAGTAGTATATTATTTTGTTGTTTTAAAATTTTGTTTTGTTTATTACACATTTACAAGAAGAATTAGTCATTTTGTTATAGTACAGGTTGTTTATGTTTGTTTTCTTTTTTTTTCTCTTATGCATTTGTAAATAAAGTTTTTATTTTATAAATTTAAATTAAAATAATAAATTCAAATTTACTAAAACTTTAGGTGAGAAAGGGGAAACAATTAAAATCTTGCATTTATTACTTTTCTGGCAGTTAAAAAAAAAGAAAAAATAATAATAGGTTTGTAAACAAAAATCAAGTATTAAATAAATAATTTGCTTAAAAACAAGCCTAATCAAGATTGCGCTCTTTGTTGACGTTGACGGACAAAGATTTGATCAATATGGGCAAAGACATCGCTAGATTTTCTGGCAGCATCAACGCTGAAGTGTAAACCTCTCAAGGCGTAGTAGTCAACCAAAGGTTTGGTTTGTCTGTGATAAGATTCCAAACGTTTCTTTAAAGCTTCAGCATTGTCATCACTACGTCTGATCAAAGGTTCACCAGTGACCTGTAAAAAAGAGACAATATTTATTTTAGTCATAAGTTTAATTTCAATGGTAGGCTTAAAACTTACATCATCCTTCATGTTTACTTTGGGTGGAGCAAATTCTTCATGATAAGAACGTCCACTGCTGGGATGAATCAAACGGCCGGTAATACGACGCACCAACAAACTATCATCAATGGCAAATTCAATAACAGCATCTAATTCAGATTTTCTCTTGGCCAATAATTCATCCAACTGTAGTAAAGTTAATTAAACTTTAATTATTTGTCTTTTCTTGCTTTTTATTATGTATTAAACTCACCTTCTCAGCTTGTACTACGGTACGTGGGAAGCCATCCAATAAGAAACCATTTTTACATTCAGGTTTATCTAAATTCTTATCGATCATATTGACTACCAATTCATCAGACACCAATTTGCCTTCGTCCATGACTTTTTTGAGAGTGGCACCCAATTCGGAACCAGAGCTGATTTCAGCACGCAACATATCACCAGTGGATAAGTGGCAGACACAGTATTTTTCCTTCAACAAAGGGGCCTAGAAAGAAGATGTAAAATTATTAGTTAAATGTCAATTTAAATCAACAAAACAACGTTTTATGCTGAAAAAACTTGTCAAAATTCTAGATTAAACAGAAATAAGTATGGAAACAGTTTTTGGAGTTTTCCTTGCAAGACGGTACATAACATGACTGGTCGTAGATCAGTTCTAACTTCATTAAAGACTATTCAATAAAGTTGTTAGCCAAATTGTTGCGCTTTTTGGTTTGATGTTTGAAAAGAGAAATATTTCGAAAAGTAAATCATCAATCACAGTTGAAGCTACTCTTACTTGCAAACATATTAGGGATTAAGCCGCATATTGTGTGGCCTCCGGTAGGTTATTGTTCCGGTCTGTAGACCGGAAGTCGTGTATTCGATTCTTATCTGAGGTACTGGTAAAGGAGAGCACATCAGGTGTGATAGAAGCCTAGGTGTATTCCTTCGTATTCATAAACATAAAATTATTGATGTTTTTTTCGAAAGCTTATCAAATATTTAAACAATTTGAACCTTAAGTCAAAAACGGTAAGAATTATTCATCAATCACTTATAGTTTATAACGATAACATCGAACATAATTTTTGCAAGAAAATAATGTTCACATGATAATAAATTATCTTAAGTTCAATATTTTTAATATAGATTATTCTTTTTTTTTAATAGATTAAATAAGTAGTTTCAAAATATTGCACTATGGGCAAAGTGCAATTATATAATTTCACAAATATGTACGTGCCAAACTGCACAGCATCGTATTTAGTAATTTCTAAGAGATAAAGTTAATAAAGTTTGCCTAACAAATATAACTTTTAAAAGAAGTTTTGATTTATACATAAGTCATTACTAGATTACTTAAAAGTAATACAGATGGTATGAAGTACTCATTCAAAAGTAAGTTGAATTATGCCGAGACCTTTCAATAGCAACCATCTTAAACTATACGAACGAAAGCTATTCATGTAAACTGCCTATTTTTACTCCTTTTAAATAATCCCATGATAATTGGATTTTTGCTACGAAACGACCCGAGTCATAGTCGGCCAAACATTGTTACAAAAACAACTTCTTTTAATTGTATTTAAATAATAGATTAACATTTTATTAATTAAATAAAATAGTAATAATAATTTCTTTTCACTTGCTAAACAAATAATAATAAAAAATCATTTGACTGGGTATTTTTTTCTTATTTAATTATAAAAATAACAATAAAAAGATAAGAATATACAATCAACAATACAGAAATATATATTTTCGGTCATCATAGGAAAGTATTTATCGCAAAAGTAAAAAAATTCTAAACTTTGATTGGGTAGATGTTTTCAAAATAAAAAATGAAAATACTATTCAAGGCCAATCAAAGGTACTTAACAAAAAGTACAAATACTATAAATAATAATCAATTATTTGCAATAAAACAACAAAAATTAATTAATTTAATGGAAAACTATGCAAAATATTTTGTAACATTAACAATGCATAACATTTCATTTCTTACACTTTTATCCCCCTTTCTTCACTATTTACATAATGTTTTAATTACTCAATAACAATTAAAAAGGTACCACCTAGTGGTTGGTTATTTAAGTACTAATTATGGAAAATTAACAGAAATTATAATAACTTATGTGTGATAAGAAAACATTGAAATTTAATTTATGTATATCTTTAATAAAAAGCGGCAAATTATGTTTACGACCTTGAACTGACCGTAAAAATAGCATAAAAATGCTGAAATACATGTGCCACTTAAGAAAGAACACTTTTTCTCAAGATTTTTTCATTTTCTTTTAAACAATTTAATCAATCCATTGAAAAGCTTCCTATCACCCCAAACATGTTTATGTCTAAATATACATACATAGCGTTATGTAATTATTAGTTTTTCACTTTTGCCCCCATTGCCTCAATTCATTTGAATGTTGGCTAAACATTCTTCCCGGCAGTAGTTTATCAAAGAAAATGTGCTTCTTTTTCGGCAGTGTTTTGTTTATATTCCTTCTTATGGAACAATGTACAATTGTATGTCAAACACTTTGGTTGGGAGACAAAACTTACTTGAGTTCCTTTGCCGGAACCAGGAGGACCCAATAGAATAGCATTGATGCCAGTTTCTGGTTCATAACGTGAACGTGGAACAGGTTGAGCTGCTGCGTTTGGTGCCATTTTCTTTACTTTATTGCTTTTAGCAGAGATTTGTCTGGTGTAGGTTTTCCCTTTACGGCTCGCGAGGAAGCGTGTAGAGTTTAATGAAAACTAAATTGACAGCAGAAAAAAACAATAAACACACTTCCACTAACTAACTACTAGTGTCATTCTAAACGAAGGGGAACGAAACGAGAAATTTACTGTGACGTGGTTGGTGTTTTTTTTTTTTTTTGAAAATGATAACAACATGGTTGTTGTATTATTTATTATATGGGGGAATGACATGGAAACTGGAGAAAATGTCATAACAAAATACAACCATGTTGTTTATTAGCATTAAAATGTTTACATTTTATTTTCACTTTCTACTAAATTTGTTTAGTTTCTTTTATTAAAAAAACAACATAAGAATTAATAAAAGCCAAATTGGCAAAATATTTGATAATAAATTTTAAACGATTAATTTGTTGTATTTTCTAAGTTTAGAGAAGTTATAGAGCAAAATATGTTGGTTTTTGTATTGAATGGAAATATGGAGGCTTTAATTTTTAAATCTTTCAATGTATTTGAATGAATTTGAATTTTTATTGCATTCAATATTTCACAAACTGAATTAAAAATTAATTGTTTTCAATACAATCTATTACAAATTGAATTTAAAAAGTTTTCAGAAAAGTTTTCATTTGGAATAGATTGAGTGTATGTTTTGTTTTTTTATAATTCAAAAACAGTATGTAATTCTATTCGAGTCGTTATTCAGATCTAAGTTGGGGAACAACTCTCTCGTCATCGTTATTATATCATAAGAACGTTCAGGCTTGTGTTTATTGACAAGCTTTCGACAGAGTCACTTCTCACTCGCACCAATTGAATGTTTTACTTCGTATAACTGTTTCAAAAATTGCATTAATTGCGTGCTTTCGGTTTATTTACCTCGTTTGAGGTTATGTTAAATTTAACTGGTGAAGACCAAATAATAATTTTTCGGGGTTCCAACTTCCTATATAAAGATATAGGTGAATTTGGGGACTGTCACCGAATCAACGTGTGATAACCTTTACAGTTTTTTAATACTCGCCAACAAACTTTAAGAGTAAAAAAAAAATATAGTAATTCTATATGCCTCCGGCGAATTAGTGATTAGTATCCTAGTCTGTTAGCCCGGAGATTGTGGGTTCGATTCCCACCAGAGACACTAGTAAAAGAGCGCACAACAGGCTCGTTGCTGGCCAAGTTGTATTTTTCGGTTTCGATAATCACTTTTTAAAACATATTGAACACTTCCGCTCCTAATGGTTTAAATTCGTAGTTATTATCTATCCATTTTGTGTTCGGATATAATTCCACTGTCAGTTAGAATGAAATTCTCTCTACACTGGTGATACATATGTATTGACATTTAGATTTCCATATTTTCAAGCTAAAGATTAAGGGCCAAATTTTTTTATAAACTGTTTATAAACCAAACTTTTTTTGGAAATTATGTTTTATAAACCTTTTATAAAATAAAATATGGTTTATGAATAAGATGGTAAAGTTATTAATAAAAACCTCTCCTCGTATTAAAAACAAACACCATTCAGTTTTATTTTTTTATTTAAACAAAAAATGTTTCGTTTAATTTTCAATTAAGTTTAAAACATTGCAATAAAATTATCAACTATGGCGGCCAATTATTAATTTTAATATTTTTGTTTGTTTAAAATCGTCTATTAATAGTGAATTAAAAATTAAGTTTAAATTTTGGATTAGAAGTTGGGGTTTTTTGTTAATTACATGCTACCAATTGTAATAAAATTGTGTTTTTTTATATATTTTTATTTCATTAGACGATAATCACATACTACACATTAAGGGGACGCAAAGTGCTCGTTGTCTGGTAAATTAAAAAAAGAGAAAAAAACAATTTATTAAAAACTGTAAATAAATTTATTCAAAAACAAATTTTAATAAGAAAATACCGTTTTGGTTTGAGATGTTGGAACCTTTTCCACAGGTTTCTCTTCATCTTCAATATTGTGCTGTAAGGCTTCGATATAAGAATTTTGACATTCTTTACAAATGTTCTTAAATGATAATTCCATTTTTTGGCTAGCCACTGATAACATGGAAATCTAAATAATAATTTAAATATTAGAAAATCTTTATAATATGTTTTTTTAAAATATAAAAACTAACATCTTTTTCTATTCTTGGTATATCGTTACCAAGATTAATGACTTTTTGTTTGTATTCCGGCCAAGAGTTTTCTAAAGATGTTACATGAGATGTTATATTGGCACTGCGATCAAATAGCTCATCCAATTTGGTCTGTTAAGGAGATATGGTTTTATTAAATTTCATTTTTAATTGTTTATTAATTGCATATTAAGCCTACCTTGTGTTTAACCAGCTCTTCTTGCATTATAATTGACTTTTGCGTTAAGGTATCATTGATATAGCTGGTATTGGACTCGAGTTTATCAATTTTTGTTTGTAAATCGCTTCTTAAGGTCTTTAATTCCTCCGTATAGTTGATGGGTAGGGCCATATTTTTCAAACCGTCACTAAAATTGGACTAAAATATGAAATGAAAACAAATTGAATGTTAAGGCTGTATAATTTAAAAAAAAAAAAAATAGGATTTTGATAATCACTACTATAAAAATTCCAATTTTCATTAAAATTTCGAAATTTCATAAAAACTAAAATTTAAATAAAAATTCAAGTTTTAAATAAAAATTAATAATTTGAGTTAAAAATTTTAAAATTCCAAATTTTATTAAAAAATTTAAATTTCAATAAAATTCGAAATTAAACTTAACATTTAAAATATTTCTTCAAATTCGAAATCTACTAAGAAATCAAAATTTCACTGAAAATTTTAAATTTCACAAAAAATCTTAAAATTCGAAATTTCTAATTTGAATATTTTAAAAATTCACAAAAAAATTCTAAATTTCACTAAAAATTTGAAATTTCCTTGAAATGTGAAATATTATAAAAAATTCAAATTTAAATTTTTACTAAAAATTCGAAATTAACATTTAAAATATTTCTTCAAATTCGAAATCTACTAAAATTCGAATTTTCACTGAAAATTTAAATTTTCAAAAAAAATCTGAAATTTCACTTAAAATTCGAAATTTTTAATATTTTAAAAATCCCGCTGAGATTTCAAAATTTCACTAAAAATTCTAAATTTCACAAAATATTTAATTTCAGCAAAAATTCGAAATTTCCTAGAAATGTGAAATATTATTAAAAATTCAAATTTAAATTTTCACTAAAATTCAAAATTAACATTTAATATATTTCTTCAAATTCGAAATCTACTAAAATTCTTATTTTCACTGAAAATTTAAATTTTCACAAAAAATCTGAAATTTCACTTAAAATTCGAAATTTCTAATATTTTAAAAATCCCGCTGAGATTTCAAAATTTCACCAAAAAATTCTAAATTTCACAAAATATTTAATTTCACTAAAAAATTCGAAATTTCACTAAAATTCACTAAATATTATTAAAAATTCAAATTTAAATTTTCACCAAAAATTCAAAACTTCCTAGAAATGTGAAACATTACAAATTTGAATTTTCACTAAAAATTCAAATTTTCACTAAAATATCAAAATTTTGCTTAAAATTCAAAATTTCACTAAAATTTCGATGTTTTAAAAAACCCTAATTTTTACTTAATACTGAAATTTTAGTGAAATTAATTATTTTCCTTTTAAAATTTTCACTAAAAGGTTAATTTTTAACTAAATGTTTCCCTTAGACCAAAGCATTAAATAAATAAACTGTGACAAAACAAAACATAATATTTAGGTGATATAGATTTGACCTCTAATAAATTGAGGTCAGGCCTCATACCGGTCATTGAAATGTGACACAAACAAATTATGTTATTCCTAAAATATTCGCATAAACTTACCTTTAATTTTTCAAAAACTTGCTGCAAATCTGTTTGTTTCTCCTTAACCGAATTATAATGCTCCTTCATACTTTCAACATCCGTGGCTATAGCCTCGATTTTTGCCCCGAAATCGGCCACAATTTTCTCTTCTTTTTCGTAACTTTTTTGAGCTTCTTGGGACGAACGATATTCGCTAAAGTTTTTCCATAACTCCTGCAAAGACTGTTGCAGTTCGGTGATTTTTAAAGACATAGAAGTTTGATTTTTGATCAAACTTTTTGAAGTTTCATGCCAGGCCTGTAAAGTGTCCGGCAAAATTTGGCTAGCGGCAGAAACTGTAAATCACCAAAGATTTATTAATTAAAAATAAAGAAACGTAGTAAATTTAAAACAACTAAAACTTACCTTGTTCAACTTTTTGTCTATATTCATAGATCTGTTGTTGTAAATTGAAATTTAACCAATAGGTAAAGCCCACAAATATGGACAGAGTAATCACAAACAATAATATGCCATATAAACGAAATATCATTTGTTTATTATGGCCACAATGATGAGGAGGTTGTTTAATTTTAGGTTGCTGTCATATGAAAAAAATTATCATTAATAAACAAAGGAATTTCAGCTATTTTACATTTATGCTTAAACTTACCCAAGTGTAATCTTCTTGGTCATCTGTCGAGGCATTATTTAATAGTTTATCTTGTGAATAGACAGCTCCTCGACTATTATTACAGCGTCTTAAGGCTCCGCCACCACCACAACCTCCACCCCCGCCACCACTGCCATTACCACCATTTTTATTATGACTTTGTGATAAAAGAGCATCTAAATCTCGACGCTTTCGCATTTTCTTAATGCCATAACGTAGTGGCACCGTAACATGATGACTAGAATCCATTTTAAACTATAGAGTTTTTAGTATTTTTTTTTAATTTAATAATTTAATAACTTAATTATAATAAAAATTCAACAATTACAGCATAAAAAAGGACTCGATTTTAATCGGTCACACAACTTCCTTTCTACGCCTCAAACACTTTTCGCGTTTTATTGTTCTATGTTTTTCTTTATTTAGTCCCTCTTCCTTGCTTCTTTACAACTGATGTAAAGTTATTTTTAACAAAAACATTATTATTATTGATTTCTTTAGGTTTTTTGGTTTTTTAGTCTCTATGTATCGAATGCTTTGGGTTGTCTGTCGCTAAACAATAGAAAACTTAACTAAACTCGACTCAAGTTGTCTCTCAACCCTTAATATTTCAAACGACATTTCAACTTTCGAAATTTCTTTACATGCATTTCAAGATTTTGCGCACTGACTGGCTGACTGCTACTTTTTATTCTGACTACTTTTCTATATGCGTCCGACATCTATCCATTCAAATGTTGTTTAAAATTTTCTTTTGTTTTGTTTACTACACGTTAAATTGAGTTGTTTTCTTCTTTTTTATTTTATTTCTCACCGTTTGTTAGTTGTGTCAAATTTGTCATTGAATTAAATATTATTTCCAACAACCACACTAACAAAAGTACATTATCAATTCATCCATTATTAACTCTTTTCTTTTTTATTTGAGTACAAAAACATACAACAAAAATTCCATACATAACAATAAATATATTTACGTTATATTAAACTATACACACGACATTTAATACATATAAAATCATACTACTAATACTGCTACTGTGTCTCTATTTAGAACCCTTATACCCCATACCTATCTCGACACCCATTATTATTATTATTAGTCTTTGCAAATGTATAGAATTGAGCATTAGCTTTAACGTCATGTTTGAATACAAAAAAACAAACATTGATAACGCGAAAAATAATTGTAAAAGCAAATTATAATTATTTAACCTTCTCAAAGGGAGGGGATCGAGGAGTGTCACGAGGTTCATTCACGCATAAACATAATTGGATATGTGTGTATTTAGCTTTATATTGGATATAATGATACTAACGAATAGGGTTTTTTCGCGCGAAAACTTAATTAAATCTCGAATTCTTATTAGGATTTATTTAAGAAATTTATAAATTTTTATGATGACTTTGAGTTTATTTTATAGCGTTATGGTTCCAGTTAGGTTAAAAATATAAAATCTCTGGACGTTTGCCAATATTTGTCACATTATCTTTAAACAAAATATATAAAATTTAGGCATTTTATCTTAAGACAAAATATGACAAATTTTTTGCATTTTAGGACAAATTTTTGAAATATTTTCCTAAGACAAAATATATAAAATTATGTCATATTTTCTTAATATGACGAAATTTGACATTTGATCTTAAAACACAATATGACAAATTTTGACATTTTATCTTACGACAAAATATGCCAAATTTTGACATATTTAAGACAAAATGTTTTAAATTTTGTCATATTTTCTCTGAGACTTTCTTAAGAGGAAATATGCCAAAATTTGACATTTTATCTTAGAACAAAATATGTCAAATTTTTGCATTTTAACTTTAGACAAAATATGCCAAATACTAACATATTTTATTAGAACAAAATATGTAAAATTTTGGCATTTTATCTTAACACAAAAATGTCAAATTTTGTTATATTTTCGTAAAACAAAATATGCCCAAAATTTGACATTTTATCTTAAAACAAAATATGTATAATTTTGGCATTTTATCTTAAGACAAAATCTGTCAAATATTGACAAATTTTCTTAAGACAAAATACGAAAAATTTCAGGATCTAATTATAAGGCAAAGAAGTTAAATTTTGACATATTCTCTTAAGGCTAATTATGTCAAAGTTTTGGCATTTTATCATAAGGCAAAATATGACAGAATTTGGCATTTTATCTTAAGACATAATATGACAAATTTTGTCATTTTATCTTAAGACAAAATATAACAAATTTTGGCATATTATTGTAAGACCAAAATAAAGACAAAATATATTTTCACACAATACACAATTTCGCTTAGATCAAAACAAAAACGTGAATTTCACAACAAAAATATCTAGTTTCACAATAACATTGTCAATCAAGTGGTTCATAAGTTTTATTTAGCAAATCCTTTTATGCTAAAAGAAAATACTTAGAAATACAGCTCTTTCTTGTCTAATAATTCTTTGTAATAATTTAAATAAATTTTAAAATATGTATATCTTTTTGTATGACAAACCATTGTTATAGTTTTATTTATTAAACAATTTTATATTATTATTAAAACTTTTTTTCGGTCTGGTTCTACTGCCGTTATAATAAGTAAATACTTTATCGCGTTATTTTTATTAATAAATGATTTATTTGTATGATAATAAGAAAATGTTAGATTTCATACCCACTTACCCCGAACGCACCACTAGAGTCACAGTCGTATACGTTCAATAACAGACGAGCTATAATAACAGTATTTATCTACAGCATTGACAGGGAGGGACGACTATTTACATTTTGCAGTTTTTTTTTTTTTTTTTTCATATCTCACAAAAGTGCCAATTCATGGAATTTATTATTTAATTTTTTTCTTTCATCATATAAAATTTAAATTACATTAACACAAAAAAACACTGCTAATGGCAAATTTCCTTAAAGTGTTAGTTAAATCATTTAGCTAATTGATAAACACCGCCCGAATATATCAACTTATGATCGCGTACTTTACGCTGTAGAAAATCTTTAAGATCATCTTGTGTAAATTCAATGCCCAAGCCATTTGAGGCAAATAATTTCAGCATTTGATGTATACGTTCTATGGGCAAAGAATCCAGGTTGGTAAGCATACCAACTATATAGGACCAAAATACCTAAAAATTAAAGCAAACAAAGTAAATGTCAATTATTTAACATAAAAGCCTTAACAACTTACTTGTAATTCCTCTTCTCTTTGATCACTGGCACTAGCCATGGCTGATTCATTATCTTCATCTTCTGCTATAATTTCATTTATTGGCAACTTCTCCAATTGGGATTTGGGTAAATCTTCTTCAATTAATTTGAAAATACCAGGTTGAGATTCTACTAAAATACCATGAGATTGCCAGAAAGCCATACGTCTTCTTAACACCGAAGGAGGTATCTTAACCAGAGAACTTAAATCATCCAAAGACCATTCACCTAAAAGAATATGTTTATTTTTTTAAAAAGGCAAAAAAAAACTTTGTTATTCATACTTTTATTTTGAAAATGATATATGATAACAGCTTGTGTAGGAGCCACAGTCATATCCAATACCCGATCGCCCAATTCTATAGATATATTAACCTTTCCTGTAACTGTGCGCCAATTTAAAGTACGATTGCCTTTATACTCTTCATAGGATTTTGTATACTTTTGAAATTCATTAGCAATTTCTTCGGGTAACTCAACACTTTCTTTGTTGAAAGAAGGCCAAAACTGAGCCGATATTATTAAAGAGGAAATATCAAATTGTTTATCTGGAAAAGTTACAATTATACTACATTACATCCAATAAATCTTCTAAATAACTTACTCTCCACATATTTATAATCACTATGGATATGAGCATTAATACGCTTCGAATCGGCTATATCTTTAAGCATTACCTCACAATTGTGTAATAAAGATTCACCAAATCTTAGTTTTAACAACTCTAGATTTCTTATTTCTTTTTCGGGATTAAATTCCAATTGGGTCAATAAGCGATCTGCTAATAAATTACGGTATTCACTCATAAACAACTCTTTACTGCCATAAATATCCACTACCATGGATATTATATCGGCCGAACGTGAAGTTTTAACAGCACGCATTTGTAGAGTGGAAGAATCCAAACCAAATGGATCTGGTTGCCAATTTTCCCAATTGCTAAGTTCATCATTAACATTGCCGCCAGCAGCTTCTTTAACTGTATCTCCTTTGGCCAATTCTTCGGATAAATCTGTGGGTCCCTCTTCGGTTAAACTGGTGACCACACATCTAACAGTATCGGTACGTTTTCTCAAATACTCTTTAATGGGCGCCGTAACAGTTTCCAGTATAACGCCGGTATTATCTAAATAACGTATAGCCTTAATGGCCGCTACATAACCGGTTAATATATCCATAGTATTTACACCAGGATGCAAAATGCGAGCCTCTAAGGAAGTCTTTAAAGTGTTGATGATTTGGCGACGCAAGTTTATTTTTTCCATACAAATCTTAAGATCCTCTATGGCGGGTATAGAATCCGGAAAATCTGTTGTAAAGGAAGCAAGTTTAAGTTTAATTGGAATCCTAGTATGTTACTAACTTACCTATAATAATACTAAAAAATTGATCAATTACACTTAAAGCAAAATTCTCATAAACATAAAAAGTTAGTTTAACTTTTAAACTTTGTATAACATCTGAATTCTTATTGCCAGCTTCAGCATCTATATCCATTTCTTCATCAGTTGCATTAGTATGAAATATTTGCATTAACCATTTTATGACCACATCATCTAGCCACTAAAATTTGAAAAGAACAAATAAGTTTAATTATTTAGGAAATATTTTAGATATTTACCGTTAGCAGAGTTTTCAAATGAGATCTATCGAAAACGCCAAGACATGTATTTTTTATGTGTTCTTTTATTCTGATTTGAACTAAAAATGTCATCGATTGTCCAGCAAGACGATCTAACAACTCCAAATCTAATAACTTTTGATTTACTTCATTTATGGTTTGTAGTAGAGTTAAACATTGACATTTCTCCAGTTCCTGGTTGCAGCCTTTACAGGTTAAACCACTTTCATCTAAATCTTCAGCATCTGATTAGCAAAAATCATTGAAACCGTTATCATTTAGTAGCACATTAATTGTAACTAAATGTTGTATCTTACCTTGAGATCCACTAGTACTCTGATGTAAATTAAAGAAAACCCTAAATGAAACACTATAGAAGGAAAACACCACATTATTGAAATGTGTAGGCAATTGAGCCAGCAATGATGCCCGCAAAAGTTCATTCAACTTTTCTATTGATTTTTTATGATCCAATTTTCGTATTGCATTTAATCGTTCCAAGCTGGTTTTGATGAATTGATAGAAAGCATCTAGATTTTTAACCGCATTAACAAAATTTGTAAATAATTTATACTGCAATTGAATATCTTCGGAAGATTCTCCATCACGATAGAATTTGGTAATAGCTTGACTGTGATTAAGACAAGACCAAAATTTTACAGATAATTTACTACGCACAAAAGTACCAATTTCCATCCATAGGATTTCATAAATATAATCCAAAGTAGAGGCGTCCTCTAGAGCCAAGTCAGACGAGTCCAGCTGGAAAATGTTGGAATATTAATACTAAAATATTTGATATTTAGCAAATTTAATTGAAGTACTAACACACTCTTTGAGAATAGGGCAAGTTTCACTGAAATCTGACCAAACAATTTCCATTTTATAAAAAAAGAAAATAATTTATTTTGGCAGATGCCGGCACAAAATAAATGTAAACAATTTCGCAATAAAATCAAAACAAAACAGGCTGTATCAAATATCATATAAATGTCATTTTAAATATGTAGCAGAACAGGGTGTTAACGAATAGTTTTTAAATCTATTGAAATGAATTTAAATTTTAAGTTCATTTCATTAATACATTTAACGATAAGTTTCGCATTAAACATGTAAAATATGTTCACAAAAATGTGACGTCAAACTCCAGACACAAAAATTTCAGAAATTCGCCCATGCTGCCAACGCAATTTTTAATTCGTGCAGCAAACACAACAGCCAATTTGGCTCACGTGAACCCAGTGAGCAAAACATTACGCAAAAACATGTGTATTATAGGAATGGTTTGGTTAGTACTCCTCAACCAAATTAAGAAAATCTCTATATAAAAAAGAAGACAATCTTCTTTTTAACAGAACTATGTATTAGTATAGAACAATATTTTCTATTGAACCACTGTTGCTCACGCTAAAATAATTTGAATAGGTATTTAACAAAATGATTCAACAAATGTTTGTTGTTGCAAAATAAAAATAGATTTTCGTTTGTTTATTTCAGTGCTTTTTTTATTTACTAAATTTAAAATATATTTTCTATAAATAACTCTTAAGATTAACCGCATAAAATGAAAAAAATGTATTAGTAATTTCTTAAAAAAATTATATTAAATTTCAGAAATGTTTTTTTTTTTTAATTTTCTTTTATATACAGTAAATTCACCAACCAATTTTAAACCGAATATGATTTTAAAAAGATTTAAGTAAAACAATTAACATTAACAAAAATTTCTAATTGTATTTGTAATAAAATGATCATAAAAGTAATGAATGAAAATGGATAAAAACAAACAAAAATACAAATTAAAAATAATGTTTGTTTCCCATTTTGCAAAATCGTTTCTTTCTGCGTTTCTTTTTTTGGTGTGGTTTTTTGGATTCAATATTATTGGAGGTTTCCTTCAACTCGGGCGTAACTGTTTTTTGATCAGCTTCTGTGTGAGGTTGTTCAGCTTGATTGACGTCATTATCATCATCATTGTCGTAGAGGTTGGCAAATCGTTTTTCATAAATTTTCTGACGATGTTCTCTTTCCAATATGGGATTTATTGTTGAGGCTGCTCTTTGTATTCTCAATTTAAAACGTTCACGATCACGTGCATACATTTCCCATTCACCTTTACGTGCAGCGCGGTAAGCATAACTCCAAGTATGCATAACATGTACTGTGGGTTTGGTATTGAAACGTACCTGTGAATTTGAAAAAAAAAAATTAAATTAAATCAATTACATTTGACCTCGATGTGTTAAAAAATGTGTGTATACTTTGGAAAAAACTAGTTTAGTTAATTTTAAAATTGAAACATTCGTTAAGTAGATAATTGTATTTTTAGGAAAACATACTTTATGATATGGTTTTTTCGTCCTCTTTTGTTATAGATAAATATAAGAGGGTTTGCTTAACTAAATCAAATTATCAATAGAGCAGTATTTAACATTGGCTGACCTTGAAAATTGTGGTTTATAGTTTATTGTTTTTTGTTTGAAAATAAAATCTATTTTAGAATTTTAAATAGTTAAATAAAATATCTTCCGTTAGAAACAAAATATTGTTTGTGCAATGACCTAATACGACATTTAAAATTAAAATATGTTAAGATTGCTAAGCAATTGAAATATGTACAACAAAAAACATATGGATAAAACAGCAAATAAAAATAATACTGTGACAATATGAATAGAGAATATGGAAAAACGGCAATATTTTAACTATTTCAAACCAACCAATATTAACTTTCTATAAAAGTTTCACATATGACGTTTTCCTTACCTTCTTCTTTTTATCACAGTTTAATTTTGGTGCGGGTATAATCGGACATTCATATGAGAAATCGACTACATCATTATCATCGTCATCAAGATCTTCATCATAATAATCGTCGTCGTCTTCTTCACCATCCACGTAATCCTCCTCATCGTCATCATCATTGTCGTCGTCGACTTCCTCTTCATCATCATCATCATTATTGCCATCGCAGCCATCATCTCTGTAGGCAAACTCTATAAAACTATCATCAATATCATCATGTTCATTATTTGTGACACCGAAAAATCCGGCCATGGCTAGAAGATTATCGCACAGGTCGGATATTTGATGATGTATGGAGCCATTGATGGTCGTGCACATTCTATACACTTTTGTATCTTCCCCCACATTTAAGGAGGAGGAAGCGGCCAAACCCGCCAGACAGGTGGTGGCAGCATTAATGTTTAATGCTGCATCTTTCAAGCCCAAGGCTGAGGAACAAAATGCGCCACTATTGAGAAAATTATTTGGGCAAGACCCATTTGTCAATTTTGTTGAAGGTTTCTTATCTACCGATACATCACCCAGATCTACAGCTATTCTACAAAATGAGGGCTTTGAATATATGATGCTATTCACCACCACGGCCTCCATGGGAGGCTTAACGCCTGATTTCTTCTGGCCAGTTGACGCAGCAACCGCTGCGGTTCTAAGGTCCGCTGCCAATGTTGACATTGTGGACGTTGTACTTTCAGTAGGCGTTGGATGGGATGTTTTGGAATCTAAACTGGATGATTTGTTATGTATGCTTTTTAGGAGGCAGGTATTGAGCTGTCTTTGTTTTGTTTGTTTTTGTTGTGTTGTCGTCGTCTTCTGGCAATTGGAAATCATATGTCCAATAGTATATGATGCCAATTTAGTCGGGAATAGTTTTTAAAGGGATCTAAACGTTGTCTTCTTAAATTGATTTTCAATAAAGAAGAGCGTAGTACTCGTAAGTGACGTTGCTGACGTTTGTGTTTCTTAAACCAGCAAATAGAGTTGGGGGAAGAGGAGGAAATATCGTTTCTAACGTTGTTGGGGTAAGTATGGTCTACTTCGTTAACAATGGCTTCATTCAAAACTTGCAAGGATTCAAAATCATCATGTTGTACTTTAACTTGTGGTTGTTGTTTTTGTAGTTGTTTAGTTGTAATAAATTCAGCAGCAGTTGTAGTAGTAGCAGTAATAGTATTATTTTTATTAGTTTTTACTTTAATAGTCCCACATACTGGTAGCGGGCGATAATGGCAGCGGAATTGCTCCATGTTGTTCATTCCTTTTGCATTGAATTGTACATCGTAATTATTGGCAACAAATAACATTGGTTTTGGAAAAAGGATTAAGAAGCTAAACTCTTCCTGTGTATTGTTGTAATTAGTTAATCTATTTCGTGTTGTTGTACAAATACAGGTAAAACTCCTAGTAAAATTGGAAAATTTGATGATGAAAGCAACAGTCGAACGATTGCAATATTTTTGTTATTGTTGTTGTTTTTATTAATATTTTTCTTTCTGTTTTTCCTTGTGTGTCTTTGTTATCAAATAAAGTAAAATATATGTATATTTTTGCTTTTATTTCTGTGTTTTTAACGAAATGACAAATTTTCTCTTTGCCCCTCTTTGAAATGTTCTCTTGAACAGTTGCTGTTCAGTTCAGTTGAACTGTTTTCGTTTCGTGTGATTATTTATTTTTAATACCACCAGCACTGACAACACTACTAAATGTGTGTGTGTGTATTTTTATTTTTGTATCTTTGAATGTGTGCGCAGGGTAAATTTTTTTACTTTTTCTTTTCAACTGGTTTTCAAGTATCTGGTTGTCTAATGTCGACGTGATCTTTATAGGCACTATATAATTTTTTTCCTATATTTTATTTAGCAAAATAACGAACGTATTGTAATTGTTCAAGGACACTCGTGATATATTTTTTAGTTTTCTTAAAAGTTCATTTGTTATTGTTCATAACAATTTCTTGCTTGCACTCATTTGTTTAAATGTTAATTCTCAATAATATTCAATGTTTAAAGTTCTTTCTTTGCTAATTTTTTTAAGAATTGATGATTAATATTGCTCGGAATAAATTTTTTATACGTACTTTCTGTTTCAGCTTTTTTTTATACAATGAAAAATTTTTTGTCAAATAGTGATGTAGAAAAAATAATCAGTAATTGTCAATTTGAGTGGTAAAAAAACAAAGAAACAGAGTTGTATTTGTTTACATATTGTTTTTCGAACATCTAGAAAAGAGGAGACAACAAAAGCGAAAAATGTCGTTGATATATGAAACGAAACATGCAGGGTGGTTCATATACAAGTGTATATGTATAAATTAAAGCGGAAATTTTGTTACAGGCAAGTTATTAATATTAATTAATTTTTTATTCGTTGAAATGTAATAAAAATATAGAGTGTTTCATTTATTTGAAAGAGTTAAAGCCGTTAAATACCATTTTAAAAGTATTAGATAAATGTTTTTGACTATTTTACAGAAAATGTTGGCAATAATTTTGTTTAGTTTAACTGCGGCATAAAATTTTGTACTTCAATTAAAAAGATTTAAGTTGAATTTTTACGTCATTGACGTATTTGGTTAATTTATCAATTTAGGTTGAAATTTTAAATTGAATGTTGAGCCAGTTCTTAATTTCAAATATGCGGAAATTCGTAGTTTTAAAGATATTTTAGAAAATAATTGAAGTTGTTAAAATACTTTCTGGATCATGAGAATAAAAAAACTTATATTCGAAAATTTGTTAATATAATATGATTCATAAAAATATAATTTCAGTTTTATTTCAGATCAATTGTTCGTTCACATTTTCTTAAAACTTTCAAAATTATTTTATTTTTCTTTAATTTAATAAAATTCTAGATTTTACATAAATTTTCTCTTTATTCGACAAAAATTCTCTTTATTATAAAATTTTCGACTGTTTTTCTCTTTAAAAAACGTTTTCTTAAATTTTCAGTTTAAACTTTAAAGAAATTTTTCGATCTTTATAGAAAACCTAAAGATTCTTATCAGTCTATGGGCAGTGTCACACGTTCAATATATATCGTGATATTTGCTGTATTGTGATATGTATTGAACGTGTAGCATGTAATATTGATGGATCGTGTTCCATATCACAGAAAACCCCAATTTTCTGAAATCCAAAATTCGTATCAATATTTATAATGA